TAATTTAAGATACTTATAATTTTAATGCTATAACGAAGGAACCAACAAGATTAGTGATTTAATTTGCATTTGTGATAAGTAATTAGTATACTTATGTAATATACTAATATTAGCGAGTTACCCTGACTTCACTAAATGTAAGTCCCTAAGTGTCAAACAGTAGTCTATGAGTTACTGCAGATCTATATGTGTACTTTTCGTCCGAGTCCGTCCCGTGTACAGGAATAACCATGTTCATCTATACTTATATTATAAAGAGGTAAAGTTTGTGACATTGTGAGTTTGTGACGTTGTAGGGGGTAATCTCTGCATCTACTGAACTGATTTAGATGAAATTTGGTAAGAAGATAGTTTGAGACCCTGAGAAGGATATAGGTTTAATTTGTAATATCAATAGAAACATTTTCGGAAAATTTAGCTTTTTAAACTTTTCATATTTAGCTTTTTTTTCTATAGGTATTTTGAAATAGTAACGTACGTGTGCAATCTTTTTAAACGTCCCACTGCTACGGACCTTCCCACAATGCGAGGTGGGTCAGACCATTGCTCACGACACTGATTAAGTGTCGGTTGGTGGAGAGTATCATCAGTGTCGAAAGCGAAGAAGACATTTTGTACTTAGTATATTCAAAGCAAATTGTCATGAGTTATAAGATATGGCATGATGTACTGATGTACAACTTTTCTTTGAAAATTAATTATAAGACAGAAGATAGTTCTGAGAGCATAGACGAAAAAAACTACACATCATACAATTTTAATAGGTAACTACTTTTAATTTTATAACTATGTTTACAAACATAAAAATTAAGTCAAGTCAAAGCCAACCCCAAGCTATAAAACTTAGTTAAATACTCCATAAAACCATTAAAATACAATAGTACCACTGTAAGAGGGGTGCACAGGCAAATTACGTTTTATCGCCAATAATTGACCTACAGGAATGAATTTCTTTCACATTCCTCGATGCCATGAACAATTTAAAATTAAAAATGGTGGTTAGGAATTACGAAGCATGGGAAATGCCAAGCTTCTTCTAAATATTCTATTTTATTGTAATCTATAAGCTTATTATGTTATTTTGTAACTATTTAATTGCGAAAATTTGTTAGTGTATGTTTGATACTCTTTCACCTAGAAACGGTTGAACGGTTTTAGATGAAATTTAGTACACATATAGGAAAACAAAAACAAACCTATCCCTCGGGATCCGTACATTTTTCCAGGATAAAAAATAACCTATGTATTATTCCAGATTATAATCTATCTCTGTGATAAGTTTTATCCAGATCCGTTCAGCCGTTCTGGCGTGAAAGAGTAACAAACATCCATACTCACAAAATTTCACATTTTTAATATTATATTAGTATTAGTATAGACTATAACTTGCCGGGACATCAACACATAGGCTACCAAAAGGTATCGTTACAAAAAACTGTTACTTGTATACTACACTGCATATTACATAGTAATATTTATACTTTGTCTAATATGTATATTATTCTTCTTCCGATTGAAACACAGTAATTTAACGACCATAGCAAAATGCTAAGTTTAAAAATTTTATCACTAAAATTAGCAGACACTAGAACTCTTCGCACGATATATTCAAAGGAAAATGAATAACGCATTTGCAAAGCTCGAACTATAAATAGAAGAACTGCGATTCTCAAACTCCTCGAGCTCAATTGAGAATTTGGCAAACTTGGCTCTGACAAAGTTTCATCAACTTACGGCACGAACTGAAATACCTTTCAAATAGAATTTTGAGTCTCAATTTATTAAAATTAGGATTTTTTATTTATCTGCGCTGGTTCTTTACAAAATATTGCCCTTTTCAGTCAACGAAAAGAGCTAAATGGCAATCGCCTAAGACTAATTAGAGGTCCACTTGTTATAATTTCTTGAGATTTGAATAAGTGATGCTAACGGGCTTCTTCCTGTTATTCAGATTACAAAATTAAGAATTTATTCATAAAAACGTTATATTTTTAACTTAATTTCTAACTTCAACAGTTGTCTCTTAAAAATCTTGTTTCTGCCACAGCGATATTTTGTTCTGTTTGCAATAAAAGTCAACCTGGAACCCAATTCCTAAAACCTTACTACATAAAATACAAGGCGGTGGCTTAAAATATATCATAGCGGCTGAACCTATAAATAATATAATAATAAAAACTATTTTTAATTTAAAAAAAATGTCTTTGTTTGTAATATTTTATAAAAAACTATACAAATAAATACTAAAAAGTGTCCAAGTGTCAGATGAACATCCCTGCACGGATTTTAACTTTATTCATATTGGATTTATTTCTTTATTTTGTAACATATACCTACATATATGATTATATGACGGTACTTACGGAATTCTTAGTACGTGAGTTCAACTCGCACTTGACTGTTTTTATTTTCATTTCTCTATGCTTATTATCATAAGTGTTTTTTTAAATGGCAAATTTTCATCACAGCAAAAATATATAACGGGAAGTGCTAAAAACTAAAATATAAATGTACTCCCTCGAGTATCGCACATCGCCTGATCGACACGATTCCGAATAACCGTAATGTCGATAATGCATCCGGGCGAAAAGCGCGAAATGTATCAGAGGTAATCGTTAGTAGTCTAAGAGATAGCTTGATTTTTTGCGAGTATAAATATCATACGTAATAAAAATCCACTCTTTTTCTATATATATTTTTCTTTTATTAAGACCAGTGAATTATTAGCCGTTGAAATGATGATATTATAAAAAAATATTTTAAATTGGTCGGCGTTCATATCTGTAATATGTAATTATGACGTGGCTGCAGAAATAATGATAATAAGTCATCGATTTTTGTAGTCTGAAAAATTAAGTTTTTTGTAACGTATTGTAAATTTTTTGACATTAGAAACAGATTTGCAGTGTCAGAGATTACTGCGTCTAAACTTTAGTTCTTTAAAAAATACGTATTTTGGAAAACATCTTTGTTTTATATTTTTTATTGTCTATAATGTATATATAATATTTTAATTGACAGAATTATACTACTATCCACACCAAACATTCTATCCAAACACCACATTCTGTATTCATCATATCAGCTCTCCGCCTACAACGAATCTACATCAAAAATAATTCGGAATCATAATCAATATATTCGCACTCGTACTTTATTTTTATTCGAGATCTGAATTCATTCGCTTCATTGCTCGTTAATAAAATAAGTAAGTTTCTTTACTCGACTACGCTTTCACGTTTCGATTCACTGAGAATTTTGTTTCATTAGTTGTGAAGTAATAAGGAGAATTTTTGCAAACTTTGATACGGTGTTTGTTTTTAAACATCGAGTAAGATTCAATGCAGTGTTCCAGGCCGAAGTTTGATTTCGAAATTAAATTAATTCAATCTAAGAAATATCGCCCACTTCTAAGAGTTTCAATACTTTCTACTATTTACGTTTAGTAACTTTCATTAGTTGATAAATTGAGTTACATTTCAGTATCGTGAATATGTGAATATGAAGGCTTTCTTGGTTGTTTTAATATTTTTTATAAATGAATGTGAACTAAAGTGAATATTAAATAACTTTAAGCTAAGCTTTGCTAAAGGAAGGTGTTGTGTTCGGCCCTTTTTAACTCCACCTCACTGCTGGGCCTCTCTTCCAAACGAGGAGGATCAGGCCAGAGTCCACCACGCTGGCCAAGTGCGGGTTGGTGGACTGCACATGTCCTTCGAAAACTTGCTAGGTTCTCTCAGACATGCAGGTTTCCTCACGAAGGTTTACTTCACGTAACGTCCAAAAAGGAAGTAATACTACGAAAATTCTATTTTGAATAAAGAAGTCACAATGTATGTTTGCATGTAAAAACTTTATTGACTGTGAGAAACAAATTTTAAAATTATAGTTATAAAAGGTGTTCAGATATTACAAATGAAAAATTAAGACTAAAAATCGATTTACTTTAGTTATTAAAGATTTCTTCAAGTTATCTCAGTCTTAGTGGTTATCATAATTGTTTTAATAAAGAAATAATAACATTCCGTGTTATTTAAACAATTTTTTAACAATACAATTAATACTTTCTTAGATTTATGCGAATATTTGGTATTTAAATAATTTCGTATTTATATTGATTTTTGGTTCCCGACGTTTCGAATGCTTTACAGCAATCATGGTCACGGGAGAGACAGTCTCTCATAAAAAAAAATCCAAAAAGATTTATAAAAAAAAAAGATTTTTAGTTATTTAATTTGTTAATGCATTTCATGCCAAATGGTACTTCGAAGCGCCGACACCGCCACTGCGTACAGATTCTGCAGGAGGTAACGCAATTACCTGACCCGCCCCGACCTCAGAGGAATGCATCGCACCTATAACTTAATATTCTAGCTGTGAGAGCTAGCATAGATCACTATTTTATACCTGTAAAATTTTATTTGTACTCTTTTTATCGGTTTCTTCTTTTTTTTGGGAAGTTGCATTCGAAAGCTAGATCTAGATAGTAGATAATGGCAGAAATTTGCTTGAAGACGAGAAGGATATTTTCATTAGTTTTACGAAAATAACGTTTTAAACTTTCCATTGTATTTCAAAATCTGATAAGTGTTCAGTTATTCATAGTCACGGACAGATTACTGGCAGACGTCTAACGTTATTTGTTAATGGATTACGTCGTAGTTTAAGCGTTGAATATTTAAAAAAAAAAATTATTTGCGTGTCTCACTTTGCTTGTACACACAGTGGTACAAGTGGGTACACACTTGATAATTTCGATAGATTTTTTATTTTACAACTAAAAGTCTAAATTTTTAACAATATTAGACCTTAATTAAACCAATGAACCACATGAATACTTTATTTTTCTATAAACAAACAATCCAAAATAATTTAATTATTAGTATAGCATACACAAAGTATATCCAAATAGAACCCCTACAGTACATAGCAAAGCAAATAACTGAGAAATTTTATTGGACGTGAATATTTCTGTATAAATAGGTATCGAGGCAAGGTGCATGACAGCAGACACCCTCGTTCAATCGAAACGGTCTCCAAATGGAATTAGAGTTGGCGTGCGGCCGGCGGCGACCCCGTGGGACTCGCCGGGATCCAACAACGCTGGGATAGTCGGTGATTGCTTTACTGTTTACATTGCCACGATTGCAGATAGAATTGAAACTGGTGTGTAAGCGGGTTTAGAATCAAAAAGGGTTTTAGAAAGTCTCTTTTAATGTATGGTGAGCATCGGTTACGAGCAAAAAGTATTGGAACCAATACGGCTTTAGATTAAAACTGGAATCTAGCTTCATTTAGATTTATTTGACTTGTCGCACTTCGGTAAATTCGATAGTCGCTTCTCTTTGGTAAAGGATATTTAAATAAAAATGTAGACGAAGCTTGAAAATTTTTGTTGGCATGTTGACCGAATTAATGCTTGCCTCTGAGTTTAATTCCTTATATATATAGTATTTTTTCTAGTTGTATTTATCGATTTGTCACTCAAATCGTAGCCTTGAAAATGGTAATGAATTTGCTATTGATCAATGATTACTGGTAATTATAACATAATGGCTGTAAGAATCTTCACAAGTTTCAAAATGTCCGGGCCAATAAAAGTATTAAAACCTAAACTTATTTTTTTTTAATTCTAACTTACCTATCGTCACTTAACATTGCCACACTAGGTTTTACTTTATAAAAAAAAAAATATTACAGCAAAAACAGCAAAACAAAATGACGGTCCTATTTATTACTATTACTATGTTTTGCTCGCGGCTTTGCTCGCGTCGTAAGCTCGGCGGGCGGGCGGGTTAAAAGTAGGCATATTTCCGTCTCCAGGATGTAATCTAAGCCCTTGCCAAATTTCATCGCTCTTTCGGCATATATGGCTTAAAAAAGTAACAGACAGACACATTTACAATATTAATATGGATACAGATTGTACCTTAGAGTATACATAAAGAAATGCTTACACTAACTCTGAAGATTGTACTTACGTAACATAGTATAAAATTGATATTATTAAAGATTTTCACATAGACATTTTATCACATAGAAATCAATAGCAGAAATGCCATTGGATTTTTTGCCGAAAGGATAATGAGGTAGGTCTGCCCGCAGGCTGTAATCAACCAGGTCGGACCGCACCGCGAGTCTTCTTTGTACGGATTACCTTTCCCCAACGATAGGTCTTCGCTAATCGAACGGTATTTGATACTTTCTAACTTCAAGTTTCATTTCAGATTAATAATAATAATAATAATATGGCATTTTATTCAGATATACTTAGTAATCTATTACATATAAAGATAAGAACTTAGTCTAGACTACACTACACTACACTAGTGTAATATTTGAATTTTGGTTGTTTCTGCAGATCTTTTGTCTCCTCTATTTTTTCTTTGTTTTTCTTCGTTTTTTTTTGTCTTGAGCCACTCTGTTCCACATCACTCCTGCCACTTGTCTGAACTCTGATGTCGTCAATGTTGATTAAATTTATTTATATAGTAGCACTTGCCCGCAGCTCCGTTCAGGTTTAATAATAACGGATTTTCATACAAACTTCCAACTCGTTTTTATCTCTTTAGGGGTGGAATTACCAAAAAATGCTTTCTTAGCAGATACTTCTTTTTATGAAGAATTTGTAAGTCATATTTGAAGTTTGTAGCAGTTGTACTTTCTGTTTCTCGTGATTAATTAGTGTGGTATTTTTCTTTTATAATAAATGAATATATGGATTTTTCACTAATTATTATATGCCTGTATTTGTGGATTAAATCATATAATTGAATTTTCGCAATGCACAAGTCTATGGTAAGGGATCTAGTTTGGTGATGGTCCTATCACTATGTTATATGGCTGATAGCCATATGAGTTCTACGATTAAACTACATTACTCATGATTCGAAGGTTTTTTAAAAATTGATGTTTTGTTAAAATTTAAACTATACATAAAAGTAACGATAGCATCTCTTTAAGTTTCAATAAAATGTTTTCAATAATTAATTTTAATGAAGAAAGTATACCAACTTCGTAATCACTTTGAAAGTAATTATGCCATCCCCTGAAGTGGACTTATCTCTTGATATTTATAAAGGTTATATAAAAGACTACGGCTTACCATCGCTTAAGTGTGATCCTTGCTACGTTTTATTCTTTTAAGCAGAACCCTTACTCTTTTTCTAAAAAAAAAGTAGTTTAAGTTACTCCTTATAACATCACCTATCTGCTAGTAAAAGTTCCGTTAAAATCAGTCCAGCCGTTTTGGGAGATTAGCCGAGACAGTCAGACACAAAAATTTAATGTTTCTTATAAGTACTGTATTTCGACATTACAAATAGACACTTTAATTTTATTTATCTGTATAGGTCAATGTGTATAAATAAATATATATACCTACATAAGAATTAATGACCTTATCCTTTTTTTAAATCAATCGAAATTATCACTCAGATATTGTCTTTTCAAAGCGGTCTTTGTTTTTATTCAAGCATTAGTGTATATAGTTATATCATTAGACTTAACATTCAAACAGTTTTAATTTTTATATATTTAAAAAAAACGTTTTTTTTTTAAGTTTAACCTTTGTTTCCAATAAAACACTTTAACTTAAAAAAATAAATTTCTTTTTTATTTTAATAAGTTTTTTTTAAAACCAATAAGTTTTATTTTATTTTAAACTGTCTTAACTCTATGATCCGCCATGCACTGTATTCTACTTGTAAAAGCCCTTATGTTTGATACCCTTATTGAGGGGGTTGTGGAAAAATATGTAATCCACCATTTTGTGGCGGCGGCCATCTTGGATTTACATTGATACTGAATATATTCAATTTTATTGTCATCAGAACTAAAGGTGTGAACCAAATATCAGATCAATCTATCAAAAAAAATCTATGACTAAAATTGACGCAAAAAACAGGATAAGCTAAATAAAACTAAATAATTAAAAATACAATATTCTTGTTATATAAAACAAAAATTTATCTTTTATCATCATGTTTGCTTACTGAACAGAATACAAGCAAAGCCACAGGATATAATAGTATAAAAAATAGTTTCATAAAATATGAGATACCTACTTTCCATCTGCTATTAGGAAGCATTTCGGCCGGACGCGGTTAGATAGAGCGGTAGTAGAACAAAGTCGTCCCATAATTTAGAGGCTAGCGTTTGGCACTCGTACTCTTATACTTTCAACTTTCAAGCACTTAATGTGTTGTTTTTCTTAAATACATTTTATTTTTAATACGGCAATATAATATAATCATGTTATTATGAAAAAGCAAATTTAAATACTTTGTAACGTTATTACAGGGGTTACACTCGACAAGTTCAAGTCCACTTCAGGAGTCAGTAATGACTGATGATTATGTATAATACGATGTCTGTCTCTATTTTTTTTCTAAACGTAATTTTTATAATTTACGCATCCTTTCTATCCCTTTCATATTGTAAGTTTTGCTAACTTTTACTAAAAACCATTAAGTCTGTTATTTTTGTTTTGTTTTGCAATATCTAACTTTATGTTGAATTAATAAATAATTATGTGCCATATTTATAATTTTATATTTGGTTTTATTTTATCTTTATTTTTATCTTGTTAGATCTGTCGCTATCCTAATCATATTGTTGTTTTATTATCTGTGTCTAATGGATGACCAATAGTTATGTATTTAAAAATTATTAACACATTACATGTTATAAGTTGTCATTACCTTATTAAAAGATATTTAAAAAAAATATATTAATATTCATAATTAAATATTATCTCCATAAACTATTATGGACATGGAATCTTTTAAAGTAAGTGTATTGACTTCACGCGCACGCGGCAATTACGATTCATGGCGGGAGCAGGGTTGCCAGAACCAAAAATAGAAAAGCCGGACACAGATTCATATTTAGCCGGACATTTTGCCCTGAAAGCCTGACTCACGAGTTTTAAAAGAAAAAAAATCCCGTCGCCGAAAGAGATGACGATGGAAAGGTACACGTAGTAACGGATAGAATAATGGGATATAATAAGATAGTTATGAATGTAATGAACATTAATAATTATTTTGAAGGAATGGCAACTCTTATGAGAATCGAACATGCTATCTCCGGCATAGATGGATTTACTAAATAATTCGAACTCCATCCAAAGAGTCATCGAAAGGGTGTCGAGAAGTTACAACCGGTAAAAACTATAGGAAGTCTTAACAAAACAAAAAAAAACACTAGCTAGACCCAATACCGCAAGTACCTACAACACAAGTACTCTGTAGTCTTACGAGACGCTCGACTAAAGTCCATTGAAATGAAATTATAAAATATTTTTTGGTAGTAACGCCGCATAATGCGGGGGTCACAGCCCATTCAGGATTTTGAAACACCTACGTTAAAATTGTAAAGAGCCGAATAAAAAGGCAGTCGCTGTACAATGCGAAAACTCATTTTGTAATGTTTTTTCACTTTTAACCCGCAAAAAGGGCACATGGGTGATGAATCGTTATATTTCTTGTTATTACGACTGTGCCTCCAGTTGTGTTTGAAAGGATTATTGTACGAGTACATGATCCTATGATGAACTCCCTCATTGACGTTATTTCTATAGAATGTGTATGATAAAATATTTTTTTAGCTATGCACAGCAAAATCTAGATTTTAACTAGATATTTTTATGTGTATTTAAAGTTAGCTTTAACTAAATTTTGTTATTTTTTTTCTCGTTTCAAAGGCTTACATAATAATTATATGTATACATATGATATTTTTTATGACTTCGCCCACGTATGTAGGTATCTATTATGTACATAACCACTTAATCAATTATTTTACTTTATCGGAAAGTGTATAAAACAGTACAATTAAGCTCAAGCTCAGTTATTGCCATTAAATCTCAAGAGACTAAATTACTAGTTAAAGTATTTTAAAAACGAGCTTAATAAAAGATTTCCTTTGAGATTATACACTAGATTTATAGTGATGGGTGATAAACTGATAGACGAGCAAACATTCGTATATTATCTCCGAATATTCAAGACATAATAAATTTTAAAGTATAGTTAGAAATTTATAATTTAGTATTGTAAAGTGAAGCACCAACCCCGATACAATTTATGACCAAGAGGTAATAAATAAGTAGGTATATAATATGGTATTTTTCATATTAATTCAAAACATACTTAGGGTACAACTTGTTTAAATATAATTTTAAGTCTAAGCACCCTTGCATTAGGCCAAAATATTTAATTACATAGCAATTTGATTCGATATTTCCAGTATCAAACTCGCGACCACCAATCCAGTTGTCAGTGACAGTGCCCATTACGATATTTCTTCCACTATCTCAAATTACATTATAAGTGCTCTAATAACAAAATTGATGTCATAATTTAAATGGTTAAGGTATAAGCACACCGTCCCCAGGCACGGGGCGCGGGTCGCGGGGTGCGGGGGGCCGCGGCAAATAGGTGTTAAATTTATAGCACCTCGTGTGCGACACCTCACAAACTACTGTGATTATTTTTATATAACGTTGCGTGGGCCTAATGGGTTTTATAGCTGTTTTTCCGTGAAATATTCCAGATTTTAATAATTTTATGGTATACTAGCAGAACCCGCGGCTACGCCCGCGTTCAATCTACAAAAAACTCGGCTTTATGTTATACAGTGATATGTATTTATATAATATTGTTCATACAAAAATACTCAGATTGCGATTAAATAATGGGTGGTGGGGGTAAGAGGGCGAAAAATACTTAACGACCTCTTCTCATACCTTCCAAATATACAAAAAAAACATTAAAATCGTTCAAGCCGTTTCGGAGGAGTGCGACCACGAACACCGTGACATGAGATATTTTTTTTCACGATCACGAGATTATATATTAGATTATAAGTTTTCTTTATTTTTAGAGTTTTTACTAACACTATTTAGCAATTTAGCAATTTAGATATCTGTGTGTTTAAAGCTGTAATTTAAAATAAATGTACAATGTTAAGTTGTCATGATAGTGAAGTTACAAAGATTTTTTTCTTCCAACCTTTAAAACCTATTACGATTCTGACATACGTAATATGCATACCTACTTTACTATAGAAATAAGACAATATTTTTTTCATTTTCATTTTTTCATAGTCATGTTTATGCATTTTCTGTTATATATTATAAACATACAAAATACACAAACGCTTGTTATCTAGATAGGAAGAATACATAAATATGAGCTTTTTATGTCAAAAGAAAACCCGCGACCATCTCCCTAATAAACGGTGCGTAACCTAATGCTCTAATAAAAATTTTATAAGTGCAATTATTTTAATATTGCTGTGGTTATAGATAACTATTTTAGATATCCAACGTATAATTGATTAAATCTCTTTAATTCTCGCACAACACGAACGCTAATTGACAACACTATAGTTATAAACTATTTATCCCTTAATCCCGAGCACAAACTCGAGTGGGATTACGACGCGCGCGCCGCTAATCTCGTGTGAGGATGCATCTGTATCCCGGCGGATCTCGGGACGCAGGATTGTTTACACTGCATATTGGGCGCTGGGAACAACCCCAGATGGTGTTTGCTCTCTAGATGCTCTTGATTGCATTTTTAAATAGTGCATTACTTAAGATGTGTTAAAGATAAAATTATAATGATAAAGGGCTATGTGTAAAACCATAGTAAAATAATGTATGCATTATTTATATATTGCTTTATTTTATCAATTTTAATAGTATCCAATGAGGATTATTAATATAATATGCATTTGTGGAAGATTAGGAATCTGCCCAGCATCAGCTTCCGAAGTTTTATAACCTAATTCGGTTACATTAGTCAGAAATCGAACTGCCTTTTCATACATTGTATTGTTTATGAACGTTTTTTAATCTTTCTTTTTTCTTTTCTTTCTTTCAATAATTTATAACTGGAACCACACAACATAACCACTTAATATGATCTAGGTTTTATATAGCAGAATCAATAGATAAAAAGCTAAACCTGTATCTTGGGATATCCTTAAAGTTATTTTTAATGTAATTGTACTGTACTGTTATAAATGAGTACCATCCAAATCAATACAGTCATTCAGAAATGATGCTCTTACGAGTATAAACAAACGGTCAAGCAAAAATACGAAAAGATGTTGTTTTAGTTTTTATTATTCCAGTTATCTCCCAAAGATACATTTTTTTCTTGAAATGTACATCATCATCGTCTGCATGAGTAATAAATAAAGTATAAGCTTTTTATATGCTATCTATACATATATAATAAAATTCTAACTAAGCCGAATTTGTACATAAAATATTTTTTGGAAAATCTTATTGAAATCATTATTATCGATATGGCCGAATCTATAGTTTTTAGAATTTTTATCTGTCTGTCTGTCTGTCTGTCTGTCTGTCTGTCTGTCTGTTACCGCATCACGGAAAAACCACTGGACGGAGAACTTGGTATGGTGATAGCTGGTTATCCGGGTCAACATATAGAATACTTTTTACCGCGGGAAAATATCTCATTTCTGAAAAAAAAATACAAAAACCGCATTGTAAGATTATACTAATATGTAAAACCTAAGAATTTGGTTTCTGGTTATCTGAACGCAGGCGGAGCCGCGGGCAATGCTAGGATATTATAAGTTTAGTAAGTGACCGTCTGCTTATGGCGCGTCCGCCGCTATCAGTGTGTACGAAGCCAGCGGACCGTGGTGCAGCATCCCTTATTTGAGCTTATTTGTTTAGGGTTTACATGAAATATTACATCTGCTAGTGTATGTATGTTTTCTTTTTAATTAGAGATTGTAGTAAATTTATAATTTCTAGAAGAAAAATCGTTTAATAATTACAAGAATGTTGGTCTAATAGCTAATTTTTCATTTTAAACGTCTCGAAAGTTGAAGGACATCTCTGGTCTTAAAAACAAATTTTAAAATATGAAGTGGAAACATTCTAATGTTAAAATTAAAAAGATACAACGGAACGTCTATGTATTTCTTGGTTGACATTCCGACCACTCGCACTAAGCGCTATTCGTTATCTTTTATAATGCGCACAGCCAAGAAGTGGAATGCCCTGCCTGCGTCTGTTTTTCCGAGTGCGTATAACCTGAATCTACTTAAGGTGCATGTTAACAGGCTTCTCCTGGGCAAACTCGCTAGATCGTAGACCTTATCTGTGCCTTCGAGCTAAGATGAAGGTCAAGAGTGAGCCCAATTCTAATAAAAAAAAGTATTAAAAATTATAAAAAAAAATTTATTCTTATTATACAAATACTACCTATCTAGTGCATATAGATACATCCGAATAATAATAAGTAAGGGCTCACGATTTCTTTAACGGTAGTCTGATGACAAGAAAAGAAATTCAAGAAAT